TTCGTTCGTTAGACGATGTGAAAGGAGACACGTCCCGTTTTTAAAACGCCGTCCAGTTAAAACGTGACAACTTGGGCCCCTTGGCCCCGGGGAGAGAGGCCAAACCATTTTTCCTTGGCCGGCGCTGCCCCCCGCTCGCCACTAGAGGTCGCTGCAGGACCACAGATGCGGCGCCGTTGCGCCAGGCGAGGGTCCCGGCCTGGTGCACTCCCACCCGGGCGCAGGGGAGACCAAGGGGGCGCCGGCTCCAGCGGCTGCGTCCTGACGACCTTCGATGCATTAAGATAATAAAGACAACAACACCGATCCAGCGCCCCACGCTCTCCTGCCTCGGGGCAGCAATGTAAAAACGGGCTTTAACCCGCAGCACCAGGCCGCGCCTCCCTCCCTTCCGCCTCGCGGGGAGCTCGCGGGGCCCCTCCCGGGCTCGTCCTTCCCGGGCGACCTCGCCCCTGAGACCCGTCCAGCTCCACGCACTGGCAACGGGTCCTTCCGAGAACACGGGAGTCTGGCGTTTAAGGGTCGCTCGGAGGAATCTTTCGGAAGGCGTTTGCCGGGATCGTGTGGGGTGGCCTCCCCGCCCCCCCGGGGACCTGCAGGGCTGTGGGTGCACCAGGGGCCCCCGCGGGGAGCCCCACCCAGAGAAGTCCGCGCTGTCGCGGGCGGCCGGCCGTCGCGAAGAAGCCCAGTGTCTGCGCGCGCCCAGCGTCCTCGGTGGGCGTCTAGTACGAGGAGGGAGCAGGGGGGCTCCTCCAGCCCAGAGCGACCCCCAGCCCCGTGGTTCCCACGTTTCCGGGCCCGCAGCACCTGTAAGGGCTGGCGGAGCCACGGCAAACGCCCCCCCTCCCAGCTCCGGCGCCTGCTCCGCGCGCACAGGTGACGGCGACCTCTCTGCGGCTCTTCCCTGCGATGCTGCAGACTCCGCAGCTGCGGCCTCCCGCCCAGCAGCCCCCGGGAGCCCCTCCAGGCAGGCCGGCCTCCCTGCGAGTACCACTCCCCCCCCACACACACACACACTTCACCCCCGTAAACACGTGTGGGGACAGGGCCGGGGGCAGGCTCTTTGGAACCGCTGTGGGCATCGCCGGCCCGGAAACGCATGGCGGGCCCTTCGTCCCGGACACGGGCGCGGGTCACCCCGGCAGCCAGGCCTTGGCGTCCCGGGAACCGCCGACTGGAACAGACTGGGGGGAGGAGCCCCCCTGGGTGCTCAGCTCAGCAGAGTGAGCTGGTCTCCCAGGTGGACTGCGGGTGGGCCCCCGCCAAGGACAGCTCCCTCCTAGGCTTGTGGTCCAGGGCTCTGGCGGAGCCAGGCACGGATGACACCGGCCTCTGGGGCGTCAGGGGACCCCTGTCTCCCTCCTGCCCGTGCTGAGGGCCCCCCCCACCCCCACACACAGCGGCAGGCCCGCCCCCCGCCCCCGCACTGCGAAGTGGTGGCTGTTACTGGTCACAGAGGCAGACGGTCCAAACAGGCATGGCCAGCAGCAGTGGGACCCTCGGTCCAACAGTTTCCAGCCCAGGCCCGGACCCCGCCCCCCTGCTCACCAGCTCCCCCCCCCCACCGCCCTGTTTTCTGCCCTGGGGGGAGCAGGCAGCACTGAGGCTGCGCCGTGGACGCCCAGGAGACGAGGCGGCTGAAGCCAGAATGGAGAGGAGAGCCCAGAAGGGAGGGGGGCGGAGCCGGCTCCACCTGTGCCCTGGGCACCGGCCGCAGGACACCGCTGGCTGCGCCGTGTGGTCCCCGGAGGTCCCCGCGCCAGGCCGGCGATGATGATCACCGGCTTGCCAGCCTCCCTGGCAAGTGTGGCCACGCAGCGGGCCTGTGTCGTGAGCCCAGGGAAGGAGGGACGTGGGGCTGCTGCCTTTGCCAGGTGCGCCCGCCCTCTGCCCGTGCTCCCTGGGTGCCCGGGGACGTCAACAGCTGCCCTGGGAATGGGCTCCTGCGACCCGTCTCCTGACTCCGGTGTCCCAGGGACGCCTGTGTCCGTCTCCTACCCGCGCCCTTGCCGTCCCCACCCTCCCCGGAGTCTCTTGGCTGCGGCCCGGCCCCTCCGCCTCCTGGGGCTGCGTGTCCAGCAGGGGAAGGAAGAGGGTTTCAGCGGGCACCTGGCAGCACCCCTCCCGGCTGCGGGTGCGAAGGCCGGCCGGCTCCTCCCCCCCGGCACCGGCGCCGGCCCGAGTTGGCGGTTCTGGAGGCTGCCACGTGGAACGTCTGTGTTACGGCAAGACGGGGACCCCGACGGCCTGTGGAAAGCCTACCGCACGCAGCACGACCAATTAGCACTATTTAATTACTGACACAATCAGGCTTCCAAATTGATTTATGGCCCTGCAGAAGACACGCAGTTTGGAGGAGAGCAGGTTTCCCACAATCAGTGTGAGAGAGACGGGCGGTGCTCTGGGTGGGAGGCTGTCCCAGGGCGGGGGGCGCCGCTCAGGACCCCCCGGGCAGGCCTCGGCCGCACCCCCACCGGCCACGCCTCCCCCCACTGGTCCTGCAAATTCCGCAGTAACGACCGACCAACCGACCGGATGCTGCAGCTGGAGCCGCCGGCTGGACAGCGGGGAGGGAGGAGCCACACTTCCTTTAGCCCCTGATCAGGCGTCTGGAGCTGCAGCGCCCCCCAGAGGCTCCCACCCCAAACAGCAGCAAAAACTCTCCGGCCAGCTGCGCGCAATGGGGACCCTGGCGAATGTTTCCGGAGCTGCTGGGACCTCCCCGCCGCCTTCCATCCTGGGGACGCGGAGGGAGACCTCTTCGGCGGCGATATTCCTGCCCCCCCAAGGCCTCTGAGGGTTGCAATTCTGGGAAAAACAGATCTCTGTTCGGTTTAGAAAACATGAAGCGATGGTTTTTATAAAGAACAGGGGACATTCATTCCTAGCCGATAAATCTGGAAAGCGTTTTAATAGGAGACTCAGCTTCACAGTAAACGGGCACCCGGGGTTGGCGTTTACTGCCCACGCGGCGCGAAGGGGCCGAGAGGCCGGCGAAGGTGCGCGAGCAGCAGGCCCAGGCTGCCGGGCACGGGCGGGCCGGCGCGGGTGCCCCTCACCGGGACTTGCGGGGGGGCAGGGGCTGGGGGGGGATGGGGGTGGGGGGCATGCGAACCGGAGTGGCTCCGCCCACTCAGCGCTCCGCCTCTCACTCGCCTCCCGAGGGCGCTGGGTGCTCGCTCAGGCCCCAGAGGGGCCGCACCCACCCCGCCATGGCTTCGGTGCCCGGCGGCGATCACCCTGGGGATGGTCGGGGAGGCGCCCGGAGCACAGGCAGACGTTTAAGAAACCGGAGAAACACAAAGACACGCGGACGTTCAGAAAAGCGGACAAGACCGAGCGCGGGGCACCGTCTCGGGCGGAAGCTGGGGGAGAGGCCCCCGCAGGGCAGATGGGGCGTTTCAGGTCCTCCTGGGAGCTGCGCGGGCTGGAACGCTCAGACCTTCGGCGTATATATATATATGTGTGTGCATATATATATAATTTCTTTTGCCGTCACAGGCACGGCGAACGAAGCGCCTCCTCGTCCCGCGGCGGAGAGACGGCCCGTGGGTGCCGCCGGAGGCGGGCGGGCCTCGCTGGGCCGGGTCGTGTTGGCTGGCAACATCCCTCAGATGCGCAGACGCTCCGGCGGGCCCTGCGTTCTGGTCTGACCCGGTTCATCGGGAGCCGCACTCCGAACAGAGACCGCGGGCGGGAACCCGGTGTGCCCAGCCGCGCCCGTGTCTGCGCCCGCGTGCGGGGCCGGCAGGTGCGGACCGGGGGCTCGTCTCCCCTCTTCTCCAAGGCCGCCCTGGCGCCCCCGGGTCCACATGGGCAGTGGGGGGCGACTCGGAATTCCTTCAGGATCGCTGACCAGGGGGTCGTTCCAGGACGGGGTAGGCGGGGCAGCCTGACCCTCAGGGTAGCACGTCAGGGGTCAGAGGTCAGAGGTGCTGCTGCTGATCGCCGGGGGCTGTCCGGTGCAGGAGGAGGGGCCCCAGGGCCGCGATCTTCGGGGTCACTGCCAGGCCGGCGGACTTGCGTGCAGCTTGGGGTTCGAGGGAGAAGGGGAGGCACCTGGCCATCTGGACACCTGTTGGGAGCGCCTCCGAGCTGGCCAGGTGTCCCTCCGCCTCCCAGCCGCCCCTCCCATCCGCGCTCAGCGGGGAGGGTGCCGGGGAGGGAGGGTGCGGGGCCGAGCAGGGGAGGTGGGATTCACTTTGCGGATTGGGGCTCACAGCTGTCACTCCGAAAGGGTGGGGCTTTTTTTTTTCAAAAGGCCAATTTCCAGGCAAAGCCCGGATCCCGCGCGGGGCACTGTGGCGCTCGCCTCCGAGCGGATGCAGTCTCCGCTGAGTGGCGGGTCTTCCTCCTCGCGCCAGCGCTCCGCGTCTCCGCCGCCTGCCGTGAGCCCTGCGCGCCTGGGGCCCGCCTGCCGGGCCGGACTGGGCGGCGCGGGGGGCCGCGGCCGCGAAACTTCGGCGCGGGCGTGCGCGATCCCCGGGGCGAGGCCGGGCAGGATGGGGGCCGTGCGCCGGCGCGCCCCGCGCCGCCCCGCGCGCCCGGTTCCCCGGCCGGGGCCCCCCGCGCCGCCTCCGCCAGCGCCCGGGGCGCCGCAGCCCCGCCGCCCAGCCGCCCGCGCGCGCTAGCCCGCCAGCCCGCGTCCCCGCGCTCCCAGAGCCGCCCTTTTTGGGCCAACTGCGGGCCAGTCCACGCTCGGGTCAACGGGAAGAGACCAGATCCGCGTGGATTAAAGTAAAAATACCCCGGCGGGGGTGAGGGGGGTGGGGTTTGCCTGCGCGCCCGGGACTCGGAAGGGCAACTCCGGAGCGGCGCGGCGGTCGCACCCGGCAGGCCATGGACCGGCAAGAGGGGCGCGCAGGGCCCCGCGGCTGCTGGCGCCCCTAGCCGCGCACTCCCCGGCCGCGGATCCCCTCGCCGGCCTCCAGGGCCTCGGCGACTGTCTTCTTCGCCCAGACGGCGCCGGGGCGCGGAGGACCTGCTTCGCGGTCTCCAGGATGTGCCCGTCCGAGAGGCGGACGCTGTGGCACCGCTGGTCCCCCGTGCTCATCAGCCTGGCCGCCCTGTTTTCCGAAGGTGAGGGGACGCCGCGCTACCTCTGGCCCCGGGACTAACTTTGCCGGGAGTGAGTGCGTGGGAGTGTGTGCGTGACCGGGGGTGGCTGGGACAGAGGGCGTGGGTGTGTGGAGCACGCGTGTGTGCGCGCGTGTGCACGGGCGCGTGCGGCCGCCGAGATCCGCGGCGGCCCCTTTGCGGCAGGTGCCTCCCGGAGGACTCGCCTGGGAGGCCCTCGAGGGGACCGCGGAGGGACAGCGGGGACTTCAGTCCCGTCCACCGAAAGCGTTTCGGTGCGCGGGGCGGGGGGGGCGGGGGGGCCTGCGGAGACCCCGAGAGGGCGGCGGGAGCTGGGCGGGTGGAGCTGGACTTGGGGGTGGGAGTGAAGTGAGCGGGAGGGGCCCTGCGCGTGGCCCGGCCGCCTCCCTGGGCGCTGACCTCCAGGACACGATCGCGGAGCAGCCCCGCGCAGCAGCAGCGGAGCTCCGAGCGAGGAGGCTTCACGGCTGCTGCAAACCGCGCTGCTGGGCGCCTCTGCGCAGGTCCCGGCCTCCGGCCTCCAGCCTCCTGTGGCTGCTTGTCCCCTGCCAGCCAGGTCCCGGCAGGTTGGCCCACCCTGACGCGCCACCTGGGATACCGCAGCAGGGCCCGACCCCACGCTGTGCGGACGGGGTGGCTCCTGCTTTGCCTCCCTGCTCTTCTGCGGAGGTCCCTGTCGGACAGGGGACCGGCAACGCCTTGTCACTGTTCACTGGGACTCTTCCTGGGTTCACGGTCCCCTCCCCTTCCCCCGTGCCTGGAGTGCCTCTTCGCCACAGAGGAATGTTGAAGGAGGAAAGTGGAGATTCTTCCCAGTCCCCCGTGTGCGTGCCCCCAAATTCCCGTGGACAGATGTTCCTGAGGTTTTCTGGACGAGAGTCCTCTCTCGGCAACTTCAAAGCCAGGGACCAGGCACGGAGCCTGTGAATTGCAGGACTTTTCCCTTCTCCCTGCTCCCTCTCCCGGCGGAGTCCGCGGGGCTGCAGGGCCTCGGGCCGGCAGTGGACGCAGACCGCTCACTGATGGGCAGGAAGGGGGGGGCCGCGGACCCTGTGCCGCTGCCTTCCCCAGCGCAGCGGTGACGCCCGGGGTCTCCTGGCTGTGCGTGAGCGGGGTTGACTGGGGAGGGGGCCTCGGTTTACGGTGTGTGCACTCGAGGCACCGAGGGACAGGCCGACGGTCTGACCCGGGCAGTCTCGAGGGTCGAAAACCCCACTGGCCACGGGCAGGGCCGGAGGCGAGCCGTCCCGCTTTCCACGCGGCTCCGTGACGGCAGCGGGCACCTGTGTGTTTGCGCACGAAGGGGCAGAGTCACTTCCTCTCTGGGACCTGGCTGTGGCATGTTCTCAGCCGCGGGCTGACTCCTCTCTCGGACGGAGCGTGGCCAGGGGAGTGGCGTTCCCTGCCCCGGCGGACGTTTTCAGGTGGAGACTCCGACCGTGACCCCCCCAGAAGGGGGCGCCCTGTGGTGTGGGGGTCTACGGGTGGGGCACCACGCCCACGCCCAGCACGGGTCACGTGGTGCGGGTCAAGCTCAGAGAACTTTGCTCAGCGCGGGGGCAGGGGTCGAGGAGTGCGCGCAGGGCTGGGCCCGGGTCGGTCAGCCCCTGGTCACGCACAACTCGCTCAAGCGCCAGAAAACCCGGCACCCCGCGTGCCGTCTGGTCGCGCCCCGTCCCGGCGCCGCAGACAGGGCTCCGAGATGCCCGCTCCCTTCGCTTCTCTCTGCACGGTGTCCGGCCCCCTGTCCGCTCTCAGGCCCTCTGGCCGCCTGGCCGCTCCGTCCGGCCTGACATCAAACACGGAGTGTACGTGGAAGCGTTTTGATCGGAAGCAAATGGACACACACGCACACACGCACCCACACGCAGAATCCCAGGGGCCTGGCGTGTGTGTCTGTTGCTGAAGGAAGGATGGAGATTCTTCCTCTTGCCAAACATTAAATGTCTGCTTCAGCACATTATTATTTTTTTTTTTACCGTATTGCCTTAGTTACTTCCAAATATGAATCTTTGAATGAACAAAAACGCACATTTTCACGCCAGGCTAATGTCCTTGAACCTGACCTGTCCTCAAGGAAGTGGTGGCCACTCGGCAGAGGAGCAAACCTGCCCTGGTGCAGAGCTTTTGAAGAGCAAACAGAAGGAGAGTGCCACGGCTCACGCTGCTGCCCCTCGGGCCCCAGGCAGGAGATGACACGGCACATGGTTTGCCCGGCCGTGCCATCAGGGGGGTCCGCCGCCCCCTTTTCCGGAGAGCCGGACGGCTGGCGCCTCGGGGCGGCACCGGCCTTCGCTGGGAACGTGGGGCGTCTGTGTCACAGTGCGTTCAGTGCACGGCGTCTCGCCCTTCACGGGAGCGGCCGAGAAGAGCTGGAGGAGGAGGCCGGGCTGGGCCGGGGGGCCGGGCGCTGCTGACATGCTCGGCCTGTGGTGCAGGGTTGCCCCTGCCCTGGCACCCGTGTCTCCCAGAGCCGCACACGCTTGCCGGTGTCCCTGAGGAGCGGGTCGGGAGACCTGGGCCCGGGGAGAGCCGCTGCTGGGCTGGCCCCGTGTGGGGAGTGGCCGGAGCAGCGGTTTGCCGGGACACCTTTTGGCCAGGGTCTCCACGGTGACAGCTGCCCTCTGAGGCCAGGGCGGCCTCGGTGGTGGAGCGGCACCTCCTGGGGCCCTGGGCTGGGAGGGGCTCTGCTTCCCGGTGACGCTGACGGCCTGCCAGGCTGCTGGCGGGGGGGAGGGAGACCAGGCAGGGAGCACATGGGGGTAGGGGGGTGTGTGTGTGTGTGAGGGAGAGAGGGAGGGTGAGAGAGGGAGGCTTTATAGCTCACACTTGACCGCTGCCGGCATTCTAGGCCAGAGGATGGGAGGCCATTTAAGTTTCATTTTCTCTGAAAGAGTTAAATAATAAATGACTTTTATAAAATATATGTATGGAAAGGTAGAATTCCAAGTATGAGGGCCTGTTTCATTTAGTTCCCTTTTGAAAGCAAAGAAAAAATGAAAGCCAAAACAGAAACTCCAAAAATGCCTTATTGTACAAATCTATGCTACTCTGTATTTTTATTTCATTTATACATTTGCCCATTTATTCATCTATTCAACCAGTCTTTCTCCATCTATCCATCTTTTGTTCACCAGCCCATCCATCCATCCATCCATGCATGCATGCATCCATCCATCATCCATCATCCATCCATCATCCATCCACCATCCATCCATCCATTATCCATCATCCATCCATCATCCATCATCCACCCATCCATCCATCCATCCACCATCCATCCATCCATCCATCCATCCACTCATCCATCCATCCATCCATCATCCATCCATCCATCATCCATCCACCATCCATCATCCATCCATCCATCATCCATCATCCACCATCCATCCATCCATCCACCATCCATCCATCCATTATCCATCCATCCATTATCCATCCACCATCCATCCATCCACCATCCATCCATCCATCCATTATCCATCCATCCATTATCCATCCACCATCCATCCATCCACCATCCATCCACCATCCATCATCCATCCATCCATCATCCATCCACCATCCATCATCCATCCATCCATCATCCATCATCCATCCATCCATCCACCATCCATCATCCATCCATCCATCATCCATCCATCCATCCATCCATCCGTCTGGTCTCCAGGACGGAAGGGCACATGCCTTCCGTGCACACGGAGCTCTGCAGGGACTCTATCTGGGTGCCGAGGGCACCAGGTCAGGGAGGTGTTCAAGTGTCCTTAGAGCAGGGAGCTTACCGCCAGCCGTTATTCAAGACTGCCAGGTGCCACCGGCCACAGCGCCGTGCTGCTAGGTGGTAAGTCCAGCCCCCACTGTTCCCCGAGAAGCACCCCTTCCTTCCCCGTTCTGGCCTTCTTCTCCTCCTCCCTGTGCTATTTTACAGTAGCTGCCTCTGAGCACCAACACCCTGCTGGCTGCGGTGACCACAGGGGTGAGGACCTCCCAAGTGGGCACGGTCCTCCCCTCGCGGCCCTGGCTGCTGCAGAGGAAGGACAGGGAGGCGTTAACTCCAGCTGTGGGGTGTGGGGGCGAACCAGGCTCGCGGGCCTGTGGCCGAGGGTGTTGGGGGGGGCACCCCTGCTCTCACAGATGGGTGGGGTCCGCCCCGCAGAGGCACGGGCAGCTGCCTGCGGGGAGCAGCAAGGGCTCCGTCCGTGAGCCGGGGAGAGGGCTGAAGACCGTGGGGTGTCGCCGAACCCTCCCCCGCCCGGCAGCACGGTGGTGTGTGTGGTGCTGTCTGTCCCCTCAGCGACCCAGACTGCGGGAAATCGTTCGGTCGATAATAGTAATCGCTCCCTATGGTTTTTTTGAGTAACAATTGCGTGTCAGGTGCCAGGCCGAATGATGGATGGAAACGATTTTCGTGAATTTGCAGATAGACCCGACGGGTAGGTTTTGTTATTAGCCCCGATCTGGACGTGCGGAAAGGGAGGCTTGGGGAAGGTAAATAAGTCGGCCGAGTCCTCGCAGCCCCAGAGCCGGCAGAGTCTGAGCACGGACGCCTCTGGCTCAGGGTGTAACCCTGGGAACTGAGCTGCCCGCCGGGGGAAAACCCCGCGTGGCGACGGGTCGGGGGAGGGGAACTCGTGGACACGCGGAAGGCCGGCACCGGGAAAGGGCGTCATTCTCGCGCCCACGTCCTGCTCACCAGCCCCGAGAAGCAGGGCGTGCACCGCACCACCGCGAGGACCAGGAAATGTGTAGCTGGTGAGAACACTAGGTCTGCCCAGAGGGAAGAGGAACCGTGCTGGTTCACGTAACTGGAATTCTGCGGGCAAATCTAGCATCAGGCAAGGCTCGATCCAGGTGCTCCCAGGATGCCCAAAGGAGCTGGAATCTCTTCCCTTCTCTTTCACCGTCTTGGTTCTGTTCTCAGGCACGGTGTCCCTCCTTTAGGCAAGGGACTTCCTCAGCTCAGAACTATATCTTTTTTGCTG